ATTTTATTTTTGCGAATATTTTCAGAAAATTACATAATCAAATTTTGTAATTAAATTCGATTTTTTTGACATTTTATTTTTGCGAATATTTTCAGAAAATTACATAATCAAATTTTGTAATTAAATTCGATTTTTTTGACATTTTATTTTTGCGAATATTTTCAGAAAATTACATAATCAAATTTTGTAATTAAATTAAATTTTTTTACATTTTAATTTTGCGAATATGTTCCGAAANCTTCAGCGACGGGTAGGGCTGCTACCGATGCAGCAGTATCGAGATCCCGTCCTGCCGCAGCTTCAGTTTTAACGATTCTCGCTAATATTGGTGCTGATTCATGGGAAGGTATGAGANGATTCCCCCTGCACCAATAATACCATGTATTAATTGCAGAAATATATATATATTATTATTATTATTACATAATCAAATTTTGTAATTAAATTCGATTTTTTTGACATTTTATTTTTGCGAATATTTTCAGAAAATTACATAATCAAATTTTGTAATTAAATTAAATTTTTTTACATTTTAATTTTGCGAATATGTTCCGAAAATTACATAATCAAATTTTGTAATTAAATTCGATTTTTTTGACATTTTATTTTTGCGAATATTTTCCGAAAATTACATAATCCAATTTTGTAATTAAATTCGTTTTTATTGACATTTTATTTTTGCGAATATTTTCANATTCCTGATATTCTTCGTCAACTCGCGGAGAAAGAGAGGTTTGAGGACTAGCTCCGTTACCTCTCCTCCCCTTCGATACTGCTCAAGACANTTTTACATTTTAATTTTGCGAATATGTTCCGAAAATTACATAATCAAATTTTGTAATTAAATTCGATTTTTTTGACATTTTATTTTTGCGAATATTTTCCGAAAATTACATAATCCAATTTTGTAATTAAATTCGTTTTTATTGACATTTTATTTTTGCGAATATTTTCAGAAAATTACATAATCAAATTTTGTAATTAAATTCGATTTTTGACATTTTATTTTTACGAATATTTTTCGAAAATTACATACTCAAATTTTGTTATTAAATTCGATTTTTGACATTTTATTTTTGCGAGTATTTTCTGGAAATTACATAATTATTATGTAATTCCACAATTATTATGTGTTTCCACTACATGGAGGTGTAGTGGTGGTTCCCGTCACGTGGGACGTGAATTGACGGGAATTAACGGGAGTTGAGTTTGATGAGTGCTACATAGGCCAGTCAAATTGGACCTTGACTACCTCAAAAAGTCCTGGCAGGCTGAAATTACACCAAAATGGAGAGAAAATTTCCCTGATCATTATATAAAAAATGTGCACCCACACGTTCAACAGAAATATCCTTAATGAATTAAAAACTAATGAAAAAATTGGGGCGAACGCCAAAAAACTACACTGGATTAATTTGTCTAATCCTATCGAAAAAGTAAAAATATTCAAAGGTTGGGCTGATCTCATTTTTCAAATTTCAAGTAGAAGTAATGTTCCTGAGCCTACTGTTATTTTTTAATTAATTGTTTAACACAGTTTGGAACAAAAAGACCCAAATAATCAGCTGATCACGTATGCCCGGCCCCCCATTGCGCGCGCCACTCATGGATATACGCGGCATGCGCAGAACTTTCAAATGCTCTGTCGAATGCGTATACCTGGGGAGGATTAAGGAAACAATTGAAATACACGAAAATTCTCAAGAATGTGCAATGACCAAATACAATGAACCTTAAAGTGGGCACAGAACATGTTACAGTCTAAACTATGTCTGCCTGAACTAAAATCGAAAATTATTGGGAGAACACCACAATTCACTCGCCCTAATTCAATTACCTCACCATTTAAGTATCATTTTTAGTGCATGATCTACCTGAGGCATAAGGCAATGGAGCCGTATTGACCCCTCGACTCCTTGGGTCATCGAAGGGCGCCGTCCCCTTAATTTTCTTTTTCCTGCATTTTCAGTGCCTAATATTATCTAATATTATTAACTAATATTTTCTATCTTTATTTGCAAACGTGAAACTCCTAGTATCGCTGTGGACTAGTAGTTTCACGTATGGAAAGTACAATTTTTTTTCGTGATTTTGCCGACTCTCTTCGTGGTATTTTAGAATCGAAGGGTCTATGTTATTAACAATATTATTAACGAATATTTTCTCAGTTTATTTTCAAACGTGAAACTACTAGCATCGGTGTGGACGAAAATCCGAATTTTTTCATGATTATGCCGACTCTCTTAGTGGTATTTTAGAATCGAAGGGTCTATACCTGGCCCCTTCCCCTAACGGGATGGAGCAGCTGTCCCTGCTTCAGTCGCATTCAACCGATAGTCGTTAATAATTCAGTTAAGGCCCAAGCCACGTGGCATACGAGTAGTCTAGTGCTAGTCTGGATAAAAATATCAAAATATCTCTTAAGTGTAGTGCAAATTATTGACAGTGTTTCCTTTATACCATTATTACGGCTTCCTCGATTTCAATAATACCAAGACTGAACATTGGGTGACTATTGAACGTGTTATAGACGCAAAAATGTCTTTTTCCGGAGTCTGTGTAATCTGTGAGGGAAGTTTAGTGGGGGACAAGATGACAACCACAGTGAAGCAGAGAGGCATTAATAACTTTATCGCGAAAAGTAAACTGAGAGGGGATAATAAGTGGAAAATTTTGGAACTTTTAACGGAAATCGAAGTGCATGAGCCCTGTCGAATTGCTTACTGTTCGCTGAGACCAATTAAGAAAGTGGTAATAAAAGAGCCTGAAGCTGAGGCTCAATTTGACTATTTAATGGATTGTTTTTTATGTAGCAAAAAGTGTGATGAAACAACTCGAAAACCATTCCGAACTGTCGCGACTGACCAGATACAACAGCGTATAGAAGAAACGATTGAAGAGCGTGGAAATGAAGATGAATGGGCGCAGGCGGTTAAATTGAGGCTATCTTCAGCATCCCTTCTACAAGTTCATGCTCGATATCATAAGGCGTGCTATGCTCAATTCTTATTGATCTCCAAAAATACAAGCATTGGAAGACACAAGACACCAGGCGTGGAAGCAGCCTTTCAGAAGGTTTGCCAGTATTTAGAAGATAGTGATGACTGTCAATTCTTTCTTAAAGATCTCATCAAGGTGATGGACGATTTCCCAGTGTCTACGAAGGTATTGAAATAAAAATTACTAAGCAAATACGCCACTGATTTAATATTTATGGAACAATCTGGGAGACCAACCATTGTTTGCTTTCGAAATACCGGATATAAAATTTTGATGGACTACTGGTATTAGACAGAGCTTCTACGGAGAAGGAAGAACGATTGCGAATTGTAGTTGCCGCGGCTGATATTATCAAAGAAGATATAAAAAGTCAAGTCTACGATATATCAGTTTATCCATCACCTGCAGAAATTTTCAATAACGTTGAGGATGTAATTCTTGAAAGCTTGCGCATTTTTCTCGATCAGGTTTTGTTGAAAGGGAAAAAGAAAAAGGAGGAGAAGCTCATCACAAAACGAGATAGTATCGCTCATTCCATTATATCAGTCGTACGTCCTCGGACATTCATTTCGTCGGTTCAATTGGCCACTGGGATTTATTTGCAAAGGAAATTTGGTTCGAGGTTGATAATTGATGTCCTCAACAGCCTTGCATTCAGCGCGTCCTATTCTCAGATCAGCCTCAACGAAGCTTCTGCCGTGCCTAATAGTAACAAGCAAATGGATGAAAATGCGTACGTGCAGTTTGTATTTGATAATGCAGATCACAATGTATGCACCCTAGACGGCTTCAACACCTTCCATAACATGGGGGGAATTTGCTGCGTAACACCAAAGTTTGCCCTGAAGCAACAAGGAGAAATACCGAAACTATCTCGTGCTCCGAAGACTGAACAACTAGCGTCTAAAATTAGCATTCCCAGCGTGCATTGTAATCAGTTGACTAGCGAGAGACAAGGATTGAAATCAATCACTTTTGTGGATGTAGGGTAACTGGACTTTGGTGAAAGTGAGCAATTACCCACTGTATATTCTCTGCATATACTCGCAAAATCGCTGCATGTTGAAAATTTACCTAGCTGGCGAGGATACATGGAGACCGTCAGCAACGATCCTGAGTACGAAGTTTCACAAATTCACTGCTTACCATTCGTAAATTTACCTCCGTCCAATCTAGATACGATCAACAGCGTTCTCCATTTAGCTGCCATGGAATCCCTTCGATTGAATCAAAAAACTACTTTTGTGACGTTTGATCAGCCACTATACATCAAAGCACGAGAAATTGTTGCCAATGACAGGGCTATCCTCACAGATGTAGTCGTACGATTGGGAGGATTTCACATGCTGATGTCGTATCTAGGAGCGATTGGAACCATCATAAATGGAAGTGGATTGAAGGAACTGCTATGCACCATTTATGCTGGAAACACCGTCGATAATATGCTGACAGGTCATGCTTTCAGTAGAGCAATCAGAGGTCATCTTATCGTCTACACTGCTTTAGGCTCCATCATTGCGCAGCATGCTAGTGATATTGATGAGCAAGAGCGTGCACATATCACTGATTCGCTCAAAGAATTCAGCTTGGACCCACCGACGAAGCAGGAAATTAATGACGATGAAGTACTCATCAAGGTCAAAGCCAAGATGTTGAAAGTAATGGAGAACCTCGCTGATATCAGTCGAACTTCAAGACTCTGGTTGCAGTATTTCGACTGTATAACAGTTGTGATGCAATTTATCGAAGCTGAACGTCTAGGCAACTGGCAATTACATCTTCAGTGTGTGCGAGACATGCTCCCCATTTTCCATGGTCATATAGCGTATGCTAAATCCGCCCAGATCTACCTCCAAGACATGTGCCAATTACCGAGCATCATGTCTCCACAGGAGTTCACGAAGTTTACAAAAAGAGGACATTTTACAATACGACGATCAGATAAGAAATGGGGAGGAATATGGACTGACATGACCGTGGAATAAATCTTGATGCGTGTGATGAAGGTTTCTGGAGGTCTCACTAGTGGACGTGGGATCAACAATGAAGGTGTCGTAGCGCGTTGGATCCTGGGCATGCCAGCTGCTTATGAGGTTATAGACGCTTTCGAGACCTTTTGTGAAGTTAGAGCATCAACAGTAGAGCAACATACAGATTGGAGACCAACTAGCATAAGGAGAGATACAGAAGATTATCTGCAATTGATGAAGTGGCTCATCGCCCATGATCCTTTCGTATTAACATCTGGGCAGGAACTTATGTCTATCGCTGATGGATTATGTGCTGGAGAGGGTGTAAATTGTGACAGAGCCAGAGCAATTGGAATGGAAGCCATGAGAGGAATGATCGGAATGAATGCTGGGGATATCAAACTGAAACGCTCAACACGAGTGAAAAGTCTGGCTGCGACAAAACGTGGAATTGTCATTAATAATGAAGTTGTAGCCGTCAACACAACCCTTTTGTTTCAGCGGATTGCAGCGATAATAACGGAGGACAATCAGTTGGCGATCAGATCGTTGAATCACGAATTAGCTCCTTTTCCACCTTCTTTATTCGATGATAATGGCATTATGAGAAAATCCAAAAAATCGGAACTCTACGCAGCCTTTGATGAGCAGCCCATGAGCAGCATTGAGCTGAGCCAGTGTAAAGTCATCATTGATGGCGGATTTCTCCTCCACAAAGTGGTTTGACCGGTTGGAAGCACATATGCAGACATCCTTAACCTGTGTGAGAATTACATCAAGAAAAATTATGGATCAACGGCAATTGTGGTTTTTGATGGCTACAAGGAAGGGGAGATTGGCATCAAATCATACGAGAGGTTTAGATGATCCAGAGCTAACATCGGGAATCAATTAGTCTTCGAGAAGGATATGCCAGTTGTCCTGGTCCAGGCTAAGTTCTTGTCAAATGACAAAAACAAAGAAAGGCTCATCGATTTCTTGAGAGTTCACCTTACTAGTGCTGGGATAGCAGTGAAACAAGCCCTCGAGGATGCTGATCGACTCATTGCTACTACTGCCATTGAATAGCTTGGTGCCCATGAGAAGGTTGCAGTCATTGGGCAAGACGTTGATTTATTGGTGCTTCTCATAGCATTGACACCTCTCAATGAAGAAATTTTCTTCGTTAAACAAGGCAGTGGTAAAATTCGCAACACTTTGTTTTCCACCAAGCGACATCATCATTTTAAATATATAATACTCGTGAGTCACGCATTAACTGGGTGCGATACGATAAGTTCCATGTTGTACAAAGGCAAGAAAACTTTTTTGAAGCTGCTGAAAAAGAATAATGAGTTGGTCCATCACGTAGCTATGATCAATAAGGCAAATTCCTCACGAGCAGCTATCAAGGAAGCAGGAGAACGGCTTATGTTGGCAATTTACGATGCCAGCAAAGATGTTTCATCGATCAACGCGTATCGATATGAATGCTTCGTATCCTCTACTGCACGAGTAAGAACAGAAGTACGCTTGGGACACCCTCCGCCGACAGCTGCAGCTACTGAAGAGCACATACAGAGGGTCGACTGNGGCTTATGTTGGCAATTTACGGTGCCAGCAAAGATGCTTCATCGATCAACGCGTATCGATATGAACGCTTTGTATCCTCTACTGCACGAGTAAGAACAGAAGTACGCTTGGGACAGCTTCCGCCGACAGCTGCAGCTACTGAAGAGCACATACAGAGAGTCTACTTCCAAGTACAGAAGTGGCTTGGAAATGAGAATCTCAACTCTGTCGACTGGGGTTGGCAATTAAAGGATCAAATGTTCATCCCCATTATGACAAAAGATCCGCCAGCCCCAGAAGACATCCTCAAAATGATTCACTGTTCGTGCCCTTTGCAGTTGTACCAATCGGTGTGGATGCAGAAAAGCTGGTCTCAAGTGTTCCATCATTTGTTCAGGGTGTCATGGAAATGCCTGCTCCAACTCCAAGATGATCGACTTATCCACTGACACACCAGAAGAATCGAATGATATCGCTAGTTCTTTACTCAACGAGTTGGATGAATTGCTTGATGAGCAGTTGGAGAGATTTCCTGCTGGTGAGAGAAGCCTGCAATCTACTCCATCTCCAGAACAACACTCATTAATTGTTGACGAAGATAATGAGTCTTCTGATGATGACAGCCGAGCAACCACGAGTAAGAAGGCACGTTTGGAGTGTTCGCAGAATTTCGAATGGTAAAATATCTTAGTAAAGAGAATATCAATATATGTCCGATAGAAGAATAAGTTATTCAATGGATAAATTTTTGTTCCCCAGATATTACAGCCTGCCTCAAAACCTGGAGAATTTGAACCTGATGAGCAACTTGTTTAGTGTTAATTTATAAATTTAATTTTAAATTAAATTGTAATTTTGAGAGCTAATAATTTTATAATGTTATATATTTAGGAGTTATATCTGATAATTAAGTCTTTATATTGTTGGTCTTTTGCCTTTTTTCCTTTATATTTTGCCGAATATTGTAGGAATACTTTTTCAATTAATTATATTTCAGTGATAATTTACTCATTATTCATAGATTGCCTTCAATTTGTACAGTAGAATCCTGCTCTTTTCTAAATCGAATTTCCTGATATAAATTTTACTTCTGGACTCTCAAATTTACCAGTTTGTTAAAAAATTGAAGTCTGTACTAAACATTCCTTCAAATTCTTGTCAATTTCTACAATTAATGAATTAATTTCAATTATTTTAAACCTTCCAGGTATACAAATGCGACAGAGCATTTGAATGTTCTGCGCATACTGCGTATATCCACAAGTGGCGCGCGCAACGGGGGCCGGGTATACGTGATCAGCTGATTATTTGGGTCTTTTTGTTTCAAACCGTGTTTAAAAATTAATGAAAAAATAACAGTGGGCTCAGAAACATTACTTCTACTTTTGAAATTTGAAGAATTAGGTCAGCCCAACCTCTGAGTATTTTTACCTTTTCGATAGGATTAGACAAATTAAACCAGTGTAGTTTTTTGGCGTTCGCCCTCATTTTTTCATTAGTTTTTAATTAATTAAGGATATTTCTGTTGAACGTGTGGGTGCACATTTTTTATATAATGATCAGGGGAATTTTCTCTACATTTTAATGTAATTTCAGCCTGCCAGGACTTTTTTGGGTGGTATAAGGTATAAAGACGAGTCTTGTTTTACTGGCCTAACATGGAGGTGTAGTGGTGGTTCCCGTCACGTGGGCCGTGAATTAACGGGAATTAACGGGAGTTGAGTTTGATGAGTGCTACATGGAGGTGTAGTGGTGGTTCCCGTCACGTGGGCCGTGAATTAACGGGAATTAACGGGAGTTGAGTTTGATGAGTGCTACATGGAGGTGTAGTGGTGGTTCCCGTCACGTGGGCCGTGAATTAACGGGAATTAACGGGAGTTGAGTTTGATGAGTGCTACATGGAGGTGTAGTGGTGGTTCCCGTCACGTGGGCCGTGAATTAACGGGAATTAACGGGAGTTGAGTTTGATGAGTGCTACATGGAGGTGTAGTGGTGGTTCCCGTCACGTGGGCCGTGAATTAACGGGAATTAACGGGAGTTGAGTTTGATGAGTGCTACATGGAGGTGTAGTGGTGGTTCCCGTCACGTGGGACGTGAATTGACGGGAATCAACGGGAGTTGAATTTTTATTTATTTGATATGCTACATGGAGGTGTAGTGGTGGTTCCCGTCACGTGGGACGTGAATTGACGGAAATTGATGGGATGTGATTAGTAAGTTTGATGATATGCTACATGGAGGTGTAGTGGTGGTTCCCGTCACGTGGGACGTGAATTGACGGAAATTGATGGNAAAGAATTCTAAGAGAATTAGAATTTAGAGAGAAAAAATTTCCGCTTCACCCAGCCGGGAATCGAACCCGGGTCTCCCAGATACGCGCCGGGCACTCTTACCGACTAAGCTACCGGGAACCACAGAAATTCACCCGTTATCCCGGGTACGTTTTGGGATTATTGACGGGTACCGGATTAATTCCGGTTGGGGGGCTTTCAGTTCTAGAATTAGGACTGAAAGGGGTGGGAAACGGTTTTTATATAGCGGAGTAGTCCCGAATTGGAGCCGTCGGGGTTCTCTTAGAATTCTTTAATGCCTAACGGAGATGNGAGGTTAGGCGGTGTTTGAAGTGAATTTGAGAGTGAATTTCTGTGGTTCCCGGTAGCTTAGTCGGTAAGAGTGCCCGGCGCGTATCTGGGAGACCCGGGTTCGATTCCCGGCTGGGTGAAGCGGAAATTTTTTCTCTCTAAATTCTAATTCTCTTAGAATTCTTTAATGCCTAAAGGAGGTTAGGCGGTGTTTGAGGTGAATTTGAGAGTGAATTTCTGTGGTTCCCGGTAGCTTAGTCGGTAAGAGTGCCCGGCATTAAATTTGATTTTTGACATTTTATTTTTGCGAATATTTTCCGAAAAATTACATAATTAAATTTTGTAATTAAATTTGATTTTTGACATTTTATTTTCGCGAGTGTTTTCCGAAAATTACATAATCAAATTTTGTAATTAAATTCGATTTTTGACATTTTATTTTTGCGAATATTTTCCGAAAATTATGTAATCAAATTTTGTGATTAAATTCGACCTTTGAAATTTTATTTTCGCGAGTCTTTTCCGAAAATTACATAATCAAAATTTGTAATTAAATTCGATTTTTGACATTTTATTTTCGCGAGTGTTTTCCGAAAATTACATAATCTGTGACCTTTCAATATTTAATCGTTCTAATTTCCAAAAAACGGGATTAGGGCAACCAAATAAGAAGGACAAATGAGGGATAAAATTAACTGAATATTTATATTTCTATTAATTTACAAGATAGATCGTCGTTAGACGCTTGAAACGCCTTTTAACTTTGATCTAGGGACATGGGTAAGGCCAGGCAACTTTTGTACACGTATTAAGGGGAGATTCTAATGGACAACAAAGGGGGAGATTCTAGGTGTATCGAGGGGAAAATGATAACGTAAAGGAAATATGATGATTAAATTAACTGGGGGGAAAATAACCAAGTGTGGTGCACCGTTGGGGGGGAATGGAAAGAAATAATGTTTAAGGCGAGGGGGAAATGAGGGGGACAACTCGTACTCACGTCGACTTTCGGGTGCACTTTCCACGTGCGTCTATCCTTCTAAGAAGGCACAGAACTTCTCCAGAAAAGGGCCTTCGTTCCTACTCTTCACTTCCTGGGCACCAATGTAGCTTGGGATGAGCTCAAAGTCTCCAACAATTTTTGCAAATAACGGTCTTCGTTGCTTTGCACTATGCACACGTGGTAACACTCGGGGCAGCTGGCTTACGAGTGCCAATCCTCTCGTTCTCCTTCGTCTCCTTCGTTCCCTTCGTGAGGACTCACCAGTTGAAGTCCTTCGGATGATTTTCGTGGAGAATCAGGACCAATCAGCTGGAGTGAATGATGCCCGCGATCACGGTCCAGGGATGTGTCACATGGGGAATTGTCGAGGGCGGTAAATGGTCGAGGGTTTCACATGGGAGGATTCCAGGGCGACGGCTCCTTCAGTCACTCAGTAGGGCCGGAACTGTTGCCTTCCTTCGGCTGCAGTCATTGTAGAATCCAGGGGCGATGGTGGAGGGGTAATGAGGGGAATAGCTAGGGGTAAGGTACCCAACGGCGGCGGGATTTATGTTTTAGGGGGCAGTGTGTGTTGGGAAAAAATGTAGGTAAAAATAATAAAAAATAAATGAATATGCCTCGTCACAAATCAAATTTTGTAATTAAATTCGATTTTTGACATTTGATTTTGCGAAAGTTTTCCGAAAATTACAAATCAAATTTTGTGATTAAAATTCAATTTTGCCATTTTATTTTCTGCGAATGTTTTCCGAAAATTACATAATCAAATTTTGTAATTAAATTCAATTTTTGACATTTTATCTTTGCCGATATTTTTCGAAAATTCCATAATTAAATTTTGTGATTAAAATTCGATTTTTCACATTTTATTTCGCAAATAAAAATCCAGAAATTTGGTTTTCAATTTTTCGCAATAAATTCCAATTTTTCTG